CAGGCCCTTTAATATTGCTCATCACTGGTGGTGTTTGTTCTGTTATCTGGGGTGAGCTGGGTTTTATTACCTAAACTGGTGCTGAATTGCCACATAAAAGCTGATGTGCAAACCACGATGTTTTGGTTTTATGGATCCCCCCCCCAACACACACACCCCAACAAGTTGATTTTAGATAACAGCCTGTTCATTAGTGATGAGGGCAGGTACTAAGGGAAGTAGACCTAGTAAGCCTCTGTGCTGTTCCCACGCTGACGCTGAAGTCCCTTGACTGACAGTGCAGGGGAGGGGCGGGAGAAGGAGAGGCGGGCGGGGCGTGGGGTGTGTGGTCCAGCCTGTTGTCCAGCCTCCCGGCTGCAGCAGCCCAAGTATGGTTACTCTGATTCTGAATGGATATTCTTGTTTTCTTTGTACTTTTTATCTCCAAATGCGTGACCTTTAAAATATTTGTTTTGTGTTATTTACCCACCTGTCTGATCGGTAAGTGCTTCCTACATCTGTGGCATCTCTGAATACTGGGCTGAGACAGGAACCAACCCAGGGCCCAGGGTGCAGACAGCCTGCCTTTCTCCTGGCCTGCGTCGCAGCGGAGGATGGCTGTGGCCAGGCTTGGCGGTCCAGGCATCTAGCGGGGATGAGGCCGGGATGAAAACGTGGTGTTCTGAGGCAGCCGAAGGAAGATCGATGAGCAGCTGTTTGCTCTTTGTGCCCCATTTCAGCACTAGCTGCTTCTGGTCAGTCCTTCATTCTTATGTCCTGAGAGAGGAAAACACAGGTGGGTTCAAGGGAAATTTCATCGATTATCCCGTGAGAATCAAATCATGCTTGTGCATTTCCCCAGCTTGGCCAAGGATGCCAGAGTTTGTTGAACCTCGTGCATTCATGCTTGAGGAGAACGGGGTCCACCACGGTGGGTGGGCAGGCGGGCTCCAGCGGTCCCCTCCGCCCGCCCCTCCGCCCGCTCCTCTCGGCTGGTCTTTGTGTGTGTTTACAGCCCGCGTGCCGGCCTCACCAGCCCCCCAACCCCGCACATGGCCGCAGAGACCGGCTCTCACCTGCTGAGAGGTGCTGCAGTGAGTGAGTGAGTGAGAGACAGAGAGGTGTCCTTGTGGACATAACTCCCAGATGCCAGGAGAGCGTCTGGGCTCCGACACAGCGCTGAGTTATTCAAACTG